ACCTGAGCCAAAGTTGGACACTTTCTAACCAACTGAGCCATCCAGATGTCCAGTATATTTATAGTTTCTAATCAGTTATGAAATGATTGACATTTTCTGTAATTATGACCCATTTCCATGAAAGGTTAGAGAGAATGGTTATTCCATTGTGTTTAGAAATAAGATGACAAACAGTAAATGCTTAAATTGTTTGGTGCTAAGGTCATGAGACTTCCCAGAATTTCATGGTCAAAACAGTTTTTGTATCCAGAGAGGATCTATTTGAGCCACTGGTTGTATAAAGTTGTAGTCCTTCATATCTTCCCATTGGAGGTTTTACTTCATGGTCACTCAAAAAAGGGGTGTTAAATAGGAAAGTAATAGCTGCATTTTGAACATCTCAAATTCCCACCCATTAAAATCCCTTAATGTTCTTCCTTGAATTACATAGTCTCCATTGTAGTTCCTTTTTTGAAAAGGAAGGCAAGGAACATTTCCTGAAGTGAAGAAGGCAGTTCTGTAGTTCCTTTAACAGATGTTATATCCTGAGGTTGATGCACAGGGATAAGTTGTGGGGAAAAGAGGGCATTATGAAATGTAACATTAAAGATAACATTACGAATGCCACAAAGTTAAAATATGAAACTTGATGCTTTGAGACATACTGGGCTGAAACTGGGGTTTAGAAATGCGAATCCTGTTACAGGAGAATACGTTCCATATTATAGTAGGCATCTGTGAGTGGGGTAGACTGAAATGGCTCCTAGGGGTAATGTGTATATATTCATCTATCCTCTTCCTGATCCGCTTACGCCATGCAGATCATGGCCCTCGACAGTTAAAATTTGGTGTATATTCTGGGTTGTCAGAGTTAAGTAGGCCACAAACAACTGGGATTCAGGTATTTCAACATCTTTAAATCTCCTGTACCAACATAAACAATTTGTATAGTGCTGGTGGAGTTGGGAGAATCAGGTTTAATTAGATGCATTTTAAATACTTAACATTGCCTACTGCTGCCTGACTTCTAAATATTAAGTGAAAGCAAAGATAAATCCTAGTCTTTGCTCAAATCATTGTCTTCCCAGATCCCCACTAGTTGAAAATTTTTCTTTCCCATCACTTGTCATTTTTTAAAAACTATTACAGCCTTTATATATAAACATGCCATGTATTCTACATTTTCATGTGTGATATGTCTCCACTAGATTGTAAGCCTTTGGAGGTCAGAAAAATGCACCTAAATCATTGTATCTGCCACCACATCTAGTATAGTGCCTTATATTTATTTGCTAATTCAATAAATATTCATTAAAATAATGGGAGATATTATTGTAGCTTGATATTTGAGCCCTTTAGATGAAAGCATAATCAATTATTTTTTTCTACTTCTTATAGTTTGAAAACGTACCCTGGCATACATAGTAATTGTGGCATTTATCAAAAAATTTACACATTTAATTGTACTGGCTCTCCCTAGCTAATGTTAGTCTGGAGCAGCACTGACCAGTAGAAATATAATGAAAGCCACATAATGTAATTTTAAAATTACATTAGAAGTTTAGTAAAATTACAAATAATGTGGCCACATTATAGAAATAAGAAACATGAGATTAATATTTTAGCTCATTATTTTGAGAATATTTAACATTTGTTTTAAAAATTCAGTTTACATTCTTGTTTTCATGTGCAGTCTGATGTCTACTTTACACTTATAGCACATGTCTATTCAATGTGGCACTAGCCACATTCTAAATGCTCAGTAGTCAGATAATGGCCAGTGGCTACTGTATTGAACAGTGCAGGTCTAGAAGAGCAGGCAAAGAACCTCTCTGGACCTGTTTCCTATTAGGTCATTGTGATTTTAGGTTATTATCCAAATAAAGGTATTGGCTGCTTTTGTCACACTCAGAAATTGATAGAATAATTTAAGAAAATTTTTGTATTAATCATTGTATAAAGACACTTAGTAGGTACTTTACACCCAATTTAAATCTCTAAAACTTCTTAAGAGATCTCTCTTTTAGAGTTGTGGATGCACAGGTTGAGGTAGATCAACTTAACCTTGCTCAATAAAATACTGCTAGTAGAAGGTGGAGCTGGTTTCAGAATTAGGATTGATTGTGGATATTCCATATTCCTGCTTTAAGTTCAAAACTTCCAATAAAAGTTTGGGAAAAAAGTTTAAAGCTCTGTGTGTGTTGATAACAGACCACAAGGTTAAAGAAAAAACATTTAATGAAAAGGAGTATTTTATTTTATGAAGTCTGTATCAACCATAATTTTTTTTTTTTTTAAGTTTATTTTCAGAGAGAGAGAGTGCACATGTGCAAGAGCTGAAGAGGGGAGGAGAGAATCCCAAGCCCACTCTGCACTGTCGGTGCAGAGCCCGACTCAGGGCTCCATCTCACGAACTGTGAGCTGATGACCTAGGCCAAAATCAAGAGTGGGATGCTCAACCGAGTCACCCAGACACCCCAAATTTCTTTTTCTTGCTTTAGGCGTGGATTTTATTTCTGAAGTTATTTATTTAACGTTTGTTTATTTTTGAGAGGGGGGGGGGAGGGCAGAAAAAGAGGGAGACACAGAATCTGAAGTAAGCTCCAGGCTCTGAGGTGTCCACACAGAGCCCGACACGGGGCTCAAACTCATGAACTATGAGATCACGACCTGACCCTAAGTCGGACACTTAACCGACTGAGCCACCCAGGGGCCCCTCATTTATTTATTTCTGAGCCCAAGCAGGCTCCGAGCTGGCAGCCCAGAGTCCGATGCGGGGCTGGATCCTACAACCGTGAGATCATAACCTGAGGCGAAATCAAGAGTCAGACACTTAAAGGGATGAACCACCCAGGCGCCCCCAGCTGTGGATTTTCCTTATAGCAGAAATTTATTTTTAGTTTTTACTTTTCCTGAACATAATGTGAAGATTTAAATTGTCTAGGTTATTTCAAAATTTCCTCTAATAACGTCATATGGGGAAAAAGCCACCTTTAAGTTGGATGTTGTTAAGGCTAACTTGAAAATCAAACATTTTGCTTTTTAGGGGCGCCTGGGTGGCTCAGTCAGTTAAGCGTCTTGACTTCAGCTCAGGTCATGATCTCGTGGTCCATGAGCTGGAGCCCCGCGTCAGGCTCTGTGCTGACAGTTCGGAGCCTGGAGCCTGCTTCGGATTTTGTGTCTTCCTCTCTGACCCTCCCCCATTCATGCTCTGTCCCTCTGTGTCTCAAAAATAAATAAACGCTAAAAAAAAAAACAAAAAACAAAACAAACATTTTGCTTTTTAAATGTTTTGGCTCTTAGTACAAAGTTGAACAGTAAATTCAGAACAAGTCTTTATAAAGAATAAGATTGGCAATATAACTTCCCAGAAAAGTTTACTAAAGTAACTTGCACAAGTATTAAAGTACTGTACTCAACTACACCGTAGGCCCTGGATACATGTAGATTAATTTAACATATACCTTTTATTTATATTTCAGTGTAGTCCTAGGATGTTCATATAAACAAGGGGTTCTAGATAATTCAAAGACCATTAAAAGGCTGCAGAAGCGAAATTAATATACTAAATGTTTTCTCCTGTACTTCAAAACATTAAAAAAAGCAATTAGTTTTCCAGTGATGTTACATGGCATTTTAATAATTTAATCAGAAATGGTACAGTATGAGTATATTGTGATGTTTAAACCATCCCTAATGACGACCAGTGAAATACGGATGCTCTTATATACTACTGTGGATTGGTAAACCATTCTAGGAAGAAACTTGACAGTATGTATCATGTTCTTTCCCTTGCGCAATTGTATTGATATTAATCCTTAAAATTTTATTAGAAAGGTGTACAAATTTAGGATAGAAAATGGTAATCATTATGTCAATAAAACTAGCATTAATAGAATAGGGACGATACATTCTGAAGGAAAATAATGCATCATTAAAGGAGGTCCTTGTATTTGGAGTAAAATGGAAAAATATTCATGAAACCGCACATACCCCACTTAAACAATATATACTTTCTGAACGTATCTGTTTCCGCACTTTGGACGATAAGATCCTAAGGAAGAAAAAAATGACAGGCAGCAGTAGAGCGCCGGCTCTGGGGTTAGATCTGCTCCAAATCCCGGTTTTGCTAGCCTCCGTAATCTAGCTGCAAAATGGGAAATACTGGAGTATCTACATCATGAGGTAAATGTTTGAAAGTTAAATGAAAGTGCTTAGCGCGCCGTCTAAATAAATTTTACTTGTTACGATGATGTCTTCTTGCATCTCTCCGACTGGCGGAAAATCATATATTAAATTTAGAAATGTGATGACTTAACTAAATCGAAAGCTCCACGAGACCAGAGGGATTTAACCTAACCTGCCAACCTGCCTTGTCCAAACACTTGGATTTTGATTAGACCGGCAAGGCCATGGTGACCTGAGCTCTACCTTGCCCGTGAGCGCGCAGAATGCACACTCAAAGGGGTGACGGCCCGGTGGGTTTGACTCCCGAATTCCAGGGTTTACTCACGCGTCCTCCCCTACCCAGCCCCCGCCAAATAAGGACTCCATTCTCTCCGTTGGGCGTCACGTAAAGCTCGACGGGTCCCCACCGAGAGGCGGGGGCCGGGACCACGCACTCCATCCCCCCCGCCCGCTCGCGTCACAAAAACTACAGTCCCCAGAGGACCCCGCGAGCTCAGGATGTCCCGCAGGCAGGGTCCGGCGGCTGCTCGGGGCTGTAATTTACCCCGTGCTCCGACACAACCTTCTCTCTCTCCTCCGCGATACAGGCGAAGGTTACTGGGTGCTGCAACTTTACCCCCCGATTTCCAAAAGAGGCCAGTAGCCAGTGAAGTCGGGCCCTCCTTGGGAGGCCGGCGCGCGACCCTGCCCTGGAGGGAGGAGCTGCGGGACGCGCTGGGCCTCCAAGGGGTGACGATCTCGGGGACGTCGTGCGGCAGTCCCCTTGGCCGGCTGTCGCGGGGGGGGGGGGCGGGGGGCGGCGGCCGCGCACGCGCGGCGGGGCCTGGGGCGGGGCTTTGGGCGATTGCAGCCGGCGGTCGGTCCGCCGGTCGGCGGCTGTGTGGGTAGCCGCCAGGTCGGCGGGGGCGGAGACGCGGGAGGTTGATGGGGGTCGCCTCAACCTCGGCCTCAACCTGTAGCACAGCTTCAGCCACGCAAACGGAGATGGTGCCCTGGGTGCGGACGATGGGGGAGAAGCTGAAGCAGCGGCTCCGGCTCGACGTAGGACGCGAGATCTGCCGCCAGTACCCGCTGTTCTGCTTCCTGTTGCTCTGCCTCAGCGTCGCCTCCCTACTTCTCAACAGGTAACGCTGCAGCGGGGAGCTGGAGGGCGGCTGTTCTGCGAGGCCGCAGGCGCAGGCCCGGGTTGCTTCACTGTGTGGAGACCGCCCGGGCTGCGCAGCTGCGGGACTTACGGCCGGCTCCGAGGCCTTGGGAAGAGGGGCCTCGGGGCGCCGGGCGGAGCGTCCGGGCCCGGAAGTGCGAGCGTGGGTGGGGTGCGTTCCAGTGCCCCCCTTCCTGAGGCCGGGTCTTCTGAGACACCTGGCCCCGATTCTTACCTAGTTTTCACCTGTTTCTTGTAACCTGGCCCTCCATCATCGTTGTTTTTCAGAGGAGTGAAATGTATATGTACGTCTCAATTAGAGACCTTGCAGGGGCGGTCCAGTCAGCTGACGAGAGGGTTCTAGGTGTTGTAGCAGCCACAGTCTTAGGCAGACTCCCCTCGCTCTCACCGCGCGCGTGCGCGTACACTCGCACTCACACAGTCGTAGAGCCGCTCTGCGCACACTCGCACACGATTTTACAGCCGCTGCGCGCACACACGCGCCACATGCACGCAGTCTTACAGCCGCAGCGCGCACAGTCGTGCACGCATCCTTGCAGCCAGTGCGCGCGCACACACAGACTTGCGGCCAAAGCACACACATATGTAGTCTTACAGCTGAGGCGCGCGCGTGCGCACACAGCTTGCATAAGCATGTACGTGTGCACACATACACATAGTCACGCAGCCGAAGCACGCGCGCGCCACACACAGCCTTGTAGCTGAAGCTTTCCTCAAAGTGTGGTTGGTTAAAACGGGTAATTGTAAAGATTTGTTGAATCGAAGTCAAAGTAAAATAGTCTCTGTCTTGACATCTCTAGAATATTCGAAAAGGGAAGACTGAAAGTTTAAAATTGGTAAATTCAGTTGACACTTTGAAATCGGAAAGTTCTGCCCCTGAAATAAAACTGATTTCCTTCAGTTAGCTATTTCTAGAAATGATGAAGTAGGTAGTGGAGGAGAACTTCAAATTATTTCCGGATTTGCTCTTGGTGGAAAGAAGTCTGAGACACTTGTCAGCAACAGTATCTACATGATGTTTTTTCTGATGTTTTGAACATGAAAGCATCCTTACCCTTGACCGAGGTAGTTGATCCCTAAAGAGAGGAATGGGAAAGCGTTCACCAGGAATTTGGTTATTTAATTTTGCTCTAAGGCAACCATTTCGTGTGACGGATCAGATTTTTTTCCCTAGCCATTTTGCTTTCTTGTTAGTGGACTCTGGGTTTATATAATACTAGGTTTAAATAACGATTGATATTTTACTGGAAAATATCATTTGAGATCTAATGTGATTTGATTGTGATAGTAAGATGTTTGATTTCAGGAATACCTGAAGGAATTCTGTTAAGAATCCTTAGCAGAGTGGAAATTAATTATTAAGTACTTCGCTTTCTGTCATCTGGAAGGTATTCTAGATTAACAGCTTTAATATGAAAGGTTAACTTTTTGTGCTTAACTTTTGTCCAGGAATTTTTAACCTGTCTCCTTCAGTAGATGGGTCAGTTTAGGTGTCCAAAGTAGGACATGTAGGATCAGGTTGAACTAGATTTCTGAGGTTGTCTACTTAATTATAGCGTCTAGTGTTCTATGTTGTTAAGTCATAGAATACCATTTGATCTGTACCCTGTATCTTTATTTGTATTATTCAAACAAAGAATTTTTTTTCAGACTGTTTTTGGTACTTTCCTTTGTTAGTGTTGAAACCAGCAAAAGTGATCTTAAACATCATAGAACTGTCTTTACTAAAAGAATGGTTAGGTACCCTGTGGTGCCTGGCTGGCTCAGTCCATAGAGCATGGACTCTTGATCTCAGAGTCTTGAGTTCACGCCCTACATTGGGGTACAGTTTACTTAAATAAGTAAATAAAATGAAAGAATGGTTAGGTACCCTTTTAACAGGAAAAAGCCTTTGCAAGGTGCAAGACAGTTTATATAGTGTGCTTTTCAGCGTATTGTGTGATTTTCATTAAAGTACGTGTGCACATTCACGGAGCACCTGGGTGGCTCAGTCGGTTGAACATCTGGCTCTTGGTTTCTGCTCAGGTCCTGATCTCATTGTCCATGAGTTTGAGTCCCACGTCAGGCACAGTGCTAATAGTGCAGAGCCTGCTTGGGATTCTCTCTCTGTGCTCCTCCCTGTCTCTCTCAGAATAAATAATTAAACTTAAAAAACTGAAAAAATATATGTGTGTACATTCATATTTACATATAAACGTGTGTTTATGTATGCTTTGGCTATCTCTGGAAGACTGTTACATAAGGAAATGTGGTCCCTTCTAGGAGTGGGGAATACTAGGCACATCTATTCAGAAATTAAAAAAAAAAATGTGTGTGTGTATGTAAAATATAAAAAATACCAGGGGCGTAATGATGGAATTAGAAGAAATGAGAAGATATACTTAATGCATACCTTCAAAAAGTGATTTTTACACAGGTATTTCACCAGTTGGTTTATAGAAATAACTTAAAAAAGAAATTTTCAGTTTAAAATCTTTAATGGTTAGTATGTAGATTTGGAGCTTTACCTCTATGTAGTAAAACTTAGAATAATACTCTTTTTCAAAATTAACTTTTTCTCTTATAGCCTTGAAAGTATTCAAAGTATTGTTTAGTATATAAATTTTTCTTTTTTTTTTTTCAACGTTTATTTATTTTTGGGACAGAGAGAGACAGAGCATGAATGGGGGAGGGGCAGAGAGAGAGGGAGACACAGAATCAGAAACAGGCTCCATGCTCTGAGCCATCAGCCCAGAGCCTGACGCGGGGCTCGAACTCACGGACCGCGAGATCGTGACCTGGCTGAAGTCGGACGCTTAACCGACTGCGCCACGCAGGCGCCCCGATATAAATTTTTCTTTTGATAGCAATTAAGGCTATGAATGTTATCTGTGGAGAGATAAATAGATATAACTTTTGGCTATTGTAAGTGATTTGTGGGAGGAATAGAGTAACATACTTCATATATTTCAAATTATTTGTGATATCACCTTTATGGTAGTGTTAGGGAAAAGTAGGAGCATAGATATAATTAGCAATCATAGTATTGAGTATTTGAGTGTTATGCTAAGGAATATTTTAAGTTAATGCTACTAATAATAATGGTGATAGTAGTAATAGGTAACTAACACTTTGTGAGTGTTTTGTTTGGCCCAGGTATTGTATTAAGAATTTTCATTAATTATTGAGGCAATTTATGGTTGTGTGTGAAAGTTTTGAACCTAAGTGTGACTGTAAGAATTTGATTCTGACTCCTCCATTAATCAGTTATGTGACTTTGGATAAGTGATCTTTTACCTGTCACAGTCCCCTTATCTGTAAAATAGGGATAATATTAGTACCTACATTATATGATTATTTTGATGACTAAGTGGTTAATACATGGAACGTGTTTAAATTGGTGCTCAGCATATAGAACATACTCTTATTAAATGTTAGCAGTTATTTTTATCTCATTTATTCTAGCATGCCAGCAGACACCTTTGTGAGTAACCTCAGTCACCATGGATCAGTTTTGCTTGTTTTTGGATTTCATATGAATGTAATTATGTGGTCCTCTTGTATCTGGTTTCTTTCTCTCACTCTGTGTTTGAGATTTATCCATACTGTTGTGTATATCAGTACTTCAGTCTCTTTTGTTATTATGCAGTATTCCACTGGGAATAGGACACACTTTGTTTATCCATTCTTCTGTTGAAGGGCGTTTGACTTGTTTATAGTTTTTGGCTATTATTAATGCTATGAATATTCTCATATATATTTATTTTGGTAGACTTATTTATTTTGGCTATATGTCCATGAATGGAAATGCTTAGTTATAGTGAATGGGTTTGTTTGACTTAAGTAGATACTGCCAGATAGCTTTACAAAGTAGTTATACTAATTTTCACTCCTGCCAAAAACATTTGACTGTTCTGTCTGATACTGTCTGTGGATTTAGTTTAGTCATTTTAGTGAATGTATACTAGTAGGTCGTTGTAGTTTTAGTTAATTGTAGTTTAATTGTTAGCTATAGTCATCATGGTGTACATTACATCCCTAGTACTTATTTTTCTTATTCCTGAAAGTTTGTACCTTTTGACCAGCTCCCTCCAGTTTCCTGTCCCCTATGCTCCACCTCTTGTAACCACAGTCTGATGTCTTATTGTATGAGGTTTTTTTCCTTATGATTTTACATATAAGTGAGATCATACCCTATTTTTCTTTCTCTGTTTGACTTATTTTGCTTAGCATAATACCTTTAAGGTCCATCCATATTATCCCAAATGGTAGGATCTTCATTTCTTATGGTTGAATAATATTCTTTTTGTGTATATATACCACAGCTTCTTTGTCTATTCATCCATTGATGCACACTTAGGTTGTTTCCATATCTTGACTGTAGTAAAAATTTTACTGTGAACATGCAAGTGCAGATATCTTTTTAAGTTAGTGTTTTTGTTTCCTTTGGGTATATTCTCAGAAGTGGAGTTGCTGAATTATAAAACAGTTGTATTAATTTTTTTAAAATCCTCCAAACTGTTTTTCATAGTGGCTGTATCCATTTACATTCCCACCAACAGTACACCAAACCCTTGTTTCCTTTTCTCCACATCTTCACTAACATTTGTTATCTCTTGTTTTTTTGATGATGGCCATTCTTTCTTTTTTTTAAATTTTATTTTTTTAATTTACCTCCAAATTAGTTAACATATAGTGCAACAATGATTTCAGGAGTAGATTCCTTAATGCCCCTTACCCATTTAGCCCATCCCCCGCCCCAACCCCTCCAGTAACCTTCTGTTTGTTCTCCACATTTAACAGTCTCTTATGTTTTGTCCCCTTCTCTGTTTTTATATTATTTTGCTTCCCTTTACTATGTTCATCTGTTTTGTATCTTAAGGTCCTCATATGAGTGAAGCCATATGATATTTGTCTTGCTCTAATTTCACTTACATAATACCTTCTAGTTCCATCCACATAGTTGCACATGGCAAGATT